GAGGTTTAAGTGAGTTTGATAAATACTGTACAATCTTTGATGGTAACTTATGGCACATGCAGCAATGTTACTTTGAACTACCGTACAAAACCTTAGAGTACAATACAATGTTGCATCGTTGGATATGTAAAAGGTAGAATATGTGAACATCTGTAATATAGTTACAGTAACCCTCTACACAAACGCTGCACTTAAATGTGATGAAAAATACATCTGGGCAGACCTGGGAAAGTTTCTCAACGACAACATTTCAAAATTGTGTAATCTTTCATAAACGCATATTTTTTGTTATTCCAAAAGAAATCAAAACGCCACAGCGCGGTTTGGCGGTTACACGGCACCCAACGCCCCTTCAAGGACCCAAGGGTCACATTGCCACTCCTGTGAACTCGCACCGTACAGCTAAATCCCTACGCATATTAGTGTGCATCACATTTTTATATCATACATAATTCATATCTTTTGCACGGATAAAATGCCCACCACGCAGAGTACCTGGAGCCCTGGTCACCCTGAATCTTGACGATTTACCGAATTGCCGGGGTGGTCAGGGGGGTGGAGTGTTCCACCACCGTCAAGAATGCACATCATCATCATCATCTAATGCCTGCAGAGGTCATGCGAACCAATCGCATACAATGTATATAAACAGACAATTATAATTGATAATTATCAATTCCTACACATACCATTTCATGCATGTACTGTGACCACAGGAACCGATTTTAGTCGAAGAGTCGGCGGATAGCACTTTACGTGCGCAGAAAGAACGCGCGTGTCGGTGAGATGGTTTGAGAGTTCGTTCGACATCACAAAATAGCGCCAAGGCAGTCATTGCTCCATCACCTCCCCCTCTACCGCACTATCAACCTCTATTACTGCCCACTGCCATAAACGAGATGCTTTTCAACAAGAATATCCATTAAGCCGCTGAACAAAGTAAAACAGCAGCTGGACGGAGGAAAGTGAAAAACACAGGCGAATAGGGATACTTAGGGCAAATCAATATGGATTATTGAAGGTGGATCTGGATTTAAAAAGTTGACATTCATGAAAAAAAGAGCAGGTTGAAAAGTTTTTGCGAAGTTAATTTCATAACAAAAGCCGTATTAAGTAATCGGTTAACAACTGTTAAAAAACTAAATCCACAGCAGGACAATGAGGCCTGCCTGGGAGTGTGGGGGATGGAGTCCTGGGCGAGGAATTGCCCAAGTGATTTAGCAGATGTGAGACGGGTCTCGGGGAATGAGACGCTGAGTGAAGGACAACAGAGAGACAAAGACGCACAGAAGTGGAACGACGAGAATGGAACGTGGCAAGGAAATGCAGTGAAGCAGACACACAGTGACGGAGAGAAATGCCTGCCTAGCTCTTGAGATTTTAACAATGATTGGGTGCATTCATTGTTATTTGATCGTAGGAAACTACAATCACTTTGGTCACCCTTTCTTATTATATCACATTCTCAAAAATAGAATGATAATGATTCGACCGTCTAAACATACGACGGTTTTTTATTCAAATTTTCAAACCAGGCTGACAGTGCACGCATTTTGTTTGACTATGAGAGCTGTGAATATTCCAATTGATGATTAACTCATGCAAATGTCGAGTAACTTCTCACTTAACGCGGCCATTCAGAAAGGATATTGAATATCTCCACGGCAATACTCGCAAAGAGTTTGACTAACAATGCGCCAGGCTAACCACCCCCCGAGGAGACTAATAAAACACGAAGCTGCTTTTGGATGGCCACAAAGAATGCCGCTCATCTTTCTGCAGACCCCTTTCAACCACCCACGGCTCCGAATCTCTCCCATGAGCACGCATGCATTTATCCCTACAGCCAGCATGCCTGGCTTACATCAGCATAAACCACGGGGCTCCGCCACACAGGATCAAGGATAAAAGGACTGCTGCTCTTTCAATATAGCGTGGTTAAGCATAAATTGTCATTAGGCAGCAAATCTAATCAGTCATGGAAAAAAATACAACGTGGATTTGCAATCTGCTCAAAGCTACAGTTGTCGCTACACTATTACAGTTCTGCATTCAGGAAACAAGTTGGGTGCTCAAAACATCCGATGACTTCTGACCTTTCCCTCTTCCCCAGTGGGACGACAATAGCCTCGTCACCTACAATATTCACACGACACAAAACCCTCTACATCTTCACTATGCCGCCACAAACAACATCCTCAATGGCCTTCATGTTCCTCTTCCTATAGACCTTAACTGCATTATCATTGACACCTCATTCTCTGATAGAACCCTATCTAAATCCGTTTGCCTTAATGCAGAGTCTATCCTGGCTGTCTCTTATCTCATTAATGAGACCATTGCCTCCCTTTGGCTCTTCATCATCCGTTGCTTATGGGCGCGCACAATAAACTTTGGTGAGTTTTTCGCAAACTCTGTGTTCAGCGGCGGCATTTCTCAACTTTGTACAGATGACGAGTCCATTCAAGAACTACTCCCACACATGAAGTGGTTTATCAAAGTCAACAAAAAAACATTTCCTGATAGAATTAAATCAAAAGCCGTATTGATGAATCCACCCTGCCTATCTCTCATCCCCCATCATCACTCCACTGCCTCCCTCCTTGTCCTCTGCCAGGTCTGTCACACTGCCACATTATTCCACCCGTTGATCCACTTGTAACACGCGCCTCTCCGTCTCGCACATCGGCAACGAAGCGCATGACTTAATCCTTCATGCTCCGAACTTGTAAACTCTGCGACTCATTTCCCCTTGCCGTCTTTCCGCCCGATGACACCGTGCGGGTGTTAAGGTCTCACGTCACCTCCCCGACACTCGACATCTGCGTTTCTCACAATGGTTATGGTTCATCGTAGGTCGAGTTGCTCTACTTACAGTGAACATTTTTTTATATATAATGGCGTGCAAAATAATACAAGGAGGCATGGCATGGGACATTTCTCGTGCTGCTCTTAGCATGTTTGAGAAGTTGCTTCAGTTTGGCTGTGGGAGCCTTTGGCATTTACACTGAACCTTAAGAACCCTAATTATGGTCTGGTGTGACTCGAGGAATCTGCAGCAGTCCTCAGTTCATCAACACACCGCTTGTATCAGGACTAGCGCAATGAAAAAACACGAACACAATGCAGTCTACAAACGACCCAAAAAAAACTCTATTATGGACGCGATTTATAATTATCGTTTTCCTTGGCTTTACAATAATTATGTTTTATTAAAAAAGGTGATTTAAAGTTTTACGTTGCGGTTTAAAAAAAAACTACTGGGTCACTTGGTATCTTGGCTAATGCATACCGCGATGACACCACGCAGAATGAGTGTTTACAGATCAAACGAGCGTGGTGGCACTCATCATCCCTGAGCCAGTGCTGGAAACTCCACATTCATATCGCAGGGGCGAGTTTTACCATGAGATGCCTGTTGGCAGAGATTTCCACTCAAAACCTATGCCATTCCTATACTGTAGTGGGTAAGCTACAAGAAAAAATGGTAGCAACATAACTCAGTTAGTAACTCGCCAAACGTTAATGTTGGGGGGAATTTCCCCTCCCCCAACTGTGGGTCTCAGCCCCAAAGCAAGGGCAGGAGGTGAGTGGACGGGACAGGGTCTTAAACCATCACCGCATGGATACAGTGACGCACCCACACAGCAAGGGCTCAGGGCTCGAGATGGCGTGACCCAAATCCGTGAACGCCACGACAACCACCACCACCACCACCCACGGCACATCACCAACGCGCTTTCTCCTCCCAGCCGTAGCCGGCAGTAGATCACACAGCAGCAGCGTCCAAGACGTGCCCTGACCATCTCCCACCGTCGGCTCTGTTAGCCCTTCCCACCCCCCCGGCTGCCTCAGTAACCCGGCTCTCTCCATCCCACTGCACAGACACACAGACAGACACATACACATAGACACACAGACAGACAGACACACACACACAGACAGACAGACACACACACACAGACAGACACACAGACAGACACATACACATAGACACACAGACAGACACACAGACAGACACACACACACAGACAGACAGACACACAGACAGACACACACAGACACGTCGTGCCCGGCGCGGTCTGTCCATGCCTAATCTCATCACCACCACCGTCCAACAGCCCTCACCTGCACTCCCCTCACCTGCACTCCCCTCACCTGCACTCCCCTCACCTGCACTCCCCTCACCTGCACTCCCCTCCCCTGCACTCCCCTCACCTGCACTCCCCTCACCTGCACTCACCTGCACTCCCCTCACCTGCACTCACCTGCACTCCCCTCACCTGCACTCCCCTCACCTGCACTCACCTGCACTCCCCTCACCTGCACTCACCTGCACTCCCCTCACCTGCACTCCCCTCACCTGCACTCCCCTCACCTGCACTCACCTGCACTCACCTGCACTCCCCTCACCTGCACTCCCCTCACCTGCACTCCCCTCACCTGCACTCCCCTCACCTGCACTCCCCTCACCTGCACTCCACTCACCTGCACTCCCCTCACCTGCACTCCACTCACCTGCACTACCCTCACCTGCACTCCCCTCACCTGAACTCCCCTCACCTGCACTCCCCTCACCTGCACTCCCCTCACCTGCACTCCCCTCACCTGCACTCCCCTCACCTGCACTCCCCTCACCTGCACTCCCCTCACCTGCACTACCCTCACCTGCACTCCCCTCACCTGCACTCCCCTCACCTGGCATGCTGCCTTCCTGATTGGCCGGCCGCCCGCTCGCTCGCTTAAAAATCACGACGTGCCCAGGGCACCACAGCCTCGCACACCTCTACTCAGGTTGCCTGCTACCCTCCTAGCCTGCTCAGGTTGGGGTCCAGGAACGGCGGTGGCTGGCGATGCTGACCCCGCGGGGCGAGGGCGATGCTGACCCCGCAGGGCGAGGGCGATGCTGACCCCGCAGGGCGAGGGCGATGCTGGCCCCGCGGGGCGAGGTGGCGGGGGGGGGAGGTTTCCGTGGTTGTTGGCCTCTCTGCACCGCTCACCGGCATCATGGTCGCCTCGGCCGATGGATTTCCAAGCTCGCTCGCTCCCTCCTCCTGCTCCTCTCTCCTCGCACTTTCTCCTGGCCACGCAACACGGCGAACGGTAACAACATAAACACCACGACACACAGACACACACACACCGTGACACACACACCATGACACACACACCGCGACACACACACCGCGACACACACACACCGCGACACACACAGAGACACAAGCACACACAGACACACACAGACACACACACACCGCGACACACACAGACACACACAGACACACGCACACACACACGCACACAAACAGACACACACCGCGACACACACAGAGACACACGCACACACAGACACACACACAGACAGACACCGCGACAACAACCGCCATTCGCCACTAAGTGGCGGTGACGCCACCACGACGCTTGTGCCAGGCCATGTGCACCTTGAGGCCACGTGAAGTGTCGAACGCCCGCTGACAGGAGGTCACGGGGCAGACCCAGGTGCCACGGGTCGACTGACTGAGATGACTGGCTGATACACCACCTGTGCCCCCTAATGTGCCAACCTGCTGTGCTAAAGCCACCTGGCGCTCCGCTCATTGTTGAGCGTCGCTGCTCCGCCCTCCGTTGTTGTTGGAGGGCGACTGCCTCCAACTGCCCAGTAGCGTCCTTCACGAGCCTCCTCCACAGAGGCCGATCTTGACACCGCTGGTACCAGTCATCGGCAAGTCCACTCAGCTCCACGTCCTCCTGTACCACATCACTCCATCTCTTCTCTAGCCCGTGCCGCGCCCGTTTAGCCCACTCGATCCGGCTGAACAAAAGCTGTTTCGGCATGCGGTGGCTGGGCATGCGGGCTACATGACCCAGCTCACCGATGGGACCTTGCCCAGATCTTTCAAAGATTTGTGAGCTCCTCACACAATCCAGCCTGGTTAAACCCAGGATGGATCGTAGGCAGGCTAGCCTAAATGTTTCTAACCGGCGAAGATGTTCCATTAGGGAGGTCCACGTTTCGCAAGCGTAGAGAAGGGAGGGAATGACCATGGCCGAGTAGACCTGAAGCTTAGTGCGGAGCGACAGACCAGGTAGCTTCCACACAGCGTTATGCAACCGATGAAAAGATATTGCCGCTCGACTGATTCGGAGTGAGACCTATGCTGTTAAACTGGAGCCGGTCATAAGCACACTGCCCAGGTATGGGAAACTCTCCACTCTCTCCACAACTGCCCCATCACCGATTGGGAGTTGTGGGGGTGGAGTGTCCGATGGTACAAAATACCCAGGCAGGTGCTTAGTTTTGGTGGGGCTGATGGTAAGGCCCCATCTCTTAGTGGCACGCTCCAGTCTCAGCAGAAGCGTCTCCAACTGCTCCTCTGAATGAGCAGCTATTACCAAATCATCGGCATACATAACGTGGTTGAGCAATAGGGAGCCATCCCTTGACCGCACCTGGGCATCCCATTATATCTGTACCAAATGAAGATTCCCCCGGTACAGCTATTGAAGGCTTCACGAACTACGTGGTCAAAATAGATGTTAAATAATGTGGGAGCCAGAGGACATCCCTGTCGCACCCCAAGGTGTACAGGGAATGGCTCTGACTCCCGGTCACGTAGTTTTACCCAGGCCCGCTCACCATCATGAAGGTCCTTAATGATCGTGAGCAGAGGGTCAGGGACTCCAAAAGCACTAAGAACAACGCAGAGCCCAGGCCTACTGATGGTATCATATACCTTGACCAGGTCAATAAAGCAGAGATGTTGGTCTTGTTGGAATTCCCTACACCTCTGCTGTAGCAGACGGACAGAAAATATGGCATCTGTGCAGGACCGCCCTTGCCTGAAACCGCATTGGGGCTCCGCAAGCCTCTCCTCAGCATGCCTGGCAAGGCGATGTTGAATAATCCTTGTCAGGACCTTTCCCGGCACACTGAGGAGCGAGATGCCTCTGTAGTTGTTACAGTCTGTGCGGTCCCCCTTCTTAAAGAGGGAGACCACCAGGGCATCCTTCCAATCCTGCGGAACCTGTCCAGTGGTCCAGACTGTTGTTATGATGTCATATAGGGCAGTCTGTGCACAAACGCCACCCTCCCTCAGCATTTTGCTTGGGAGATCATCTCTACCCAGTGCCTTTCCTGGTCTCAGACTCTGGATCGCCCTCAGTACTTCCTCAACAGATGGCACCTGAGCCAGCCACTCACAGGGGGTGACTTCTTCCAATATTTGAGGCACTACAGCCTCAGCAGGGTCATCCCCACTTTGTGCCACGATGTTTTCCTGGCTGAGGGATTTCCCCTCCCCCAGGACCTCACAGAAATGCTCAGCAAATCTGAAAACCTGTTCCTGGGGGTTGGAGATTGGATCACCGTTTTTCCCCCTAATGATGGTAATAGGTGTGGCGCTGCAGGTTACTTTTTTGATGGAGTTAAATAGAGATTTGTGATCGCTGGCCACTGAGGCAGACTCCATCTCCTCAGCAACCCGCGACCACCACCCATCCTTGCAGCGCCTCACGGCTCTCCGAACCTCCGAGCGAAGGCTGCGGTAAGCCTCCTCATTCTCTGACGTGGAATTCTGTAGCCGATGACAGTGGGCCTGTCACGTTTTCTCAACCATCCTGAACACCTCCTCTGTCAGCCAGGGTCTCTGAGGAGGTCTGGACCGCGTACCCAAAGCAGCCATTTCAGCTGCATGAGTCACAGTCCTAAACCTCGCCCATTTACCCTCGACATCAGGAGGAGTGGGGGACGATGCCAACCCCAGCTGCAAACGATGATGAAATTAACACTTTTAAACTTTCATCAGCTATCTGAGACCAGGCCACTTTAGGTTGGAATGGGATCCTGGGTGTACACCCACCACCGGAGTGGAAGAATGGCAGGCGCATCTTACAGATGACTATTCGATGGTTAGAGGGCAGACCAGCTCCACGGTAGGTCCTGGTGTCAAGGACATGGGCTCGCATCCGCTGGTCCGTCACTATGTAGTCCAACAGATGTTCTTGCTTGGACCCGACATGCATCCATGATGTTGTGTGGATGCGCCGATGCCGGAACAGCATGTTGGTAATTACAATCCCATGGGATGCACACACCGCGACACACAGACACACGCACACACACAGACAAACACCGCGACACACACACAGACAAACACCGCGACACACACACAGACAAACACCACGACACACATACAGACAACAACAACCGTCATTCGCCACTAAGTGGCGGTGACGTCACCACGACGCTTGTGCCAGGCCATGTGCACCTTGAGGCCACGTGAAGTGTCGAACGCCCGCAGGCAGGAGGTCACGGGGCAGACCCAGGTACCACGGGTCTACTGACTGAGGTGACTAAGATGACTGGCTGGTGCACCACCTGTGCCCCCTACTGTGCCAACCTGCTGTGCTTTAGCTACCCGGCGCTCCGCTCGTTGTTGTGAGTGTCGCTCCTCCGCCCTCCGTTGTTGTTGGAGGGCGACTACCTCCAACTGCCCAGTAGCGTCCTTCACGAGCCTCCTCCACAGAGGCCGATCTTGACACCGTTGGTACCAGTCATCGGCAAGTCCACTCAGCTCCACGTCCTCCTGTACCACATCACTCCATCTCTTCTCTAGCCCGTGCCGCGCCCGTTTAGCCCCCTCGATCCGGCCGAACAAAAGCTGTTTCGGCATGCGGTGGCTGGGCATGCGGGCTACATGATCCAGCCAACGCAGCCTTGTCTGCCGGAGGAGCTCACCGATGGGACCTTGCCCAGATCTTTCAAGGATTTGTGAGCTTATCACACAATCCAGCCTGGTTAAACCCAGGATGGATCGTAGGCAGGCTAGCCGAAATGTTTCTAACCGGCGAAGATGTTCCATTAGGGGGGTCCACGTTTCGCAAGCGTAGAGACACGCACACACACAAACACCGCGACACATACACCGCGACACACACACAGACACACACACACCGTGACACACACAGACACACACAGACACCGTGACACACACACAGACACACACACACCGCGACAGACACACACACACACACACCGCGACACACACAGACACACATACACACCGCGACACACACAGACACACCGCGACAGACACAGACAGACACACCGTGACACACACACACAGACACACACAGACACACCGCGACAGACACACACCGCGACACACACAGACACACACAGACACACCGCGACAGACACACACAGACACACCGCGACACACACAGACACACACACCGCGACACACACACAGACACTCCGCGACACCTCGTAGTCGTCACCGCACACACGGAGGGTGACCACGGCGCTGGTCGCCGTTGACCTCTCGTGGCGCGGGAACCGCTCTCGCCATCCGAAGCAGCAGAACACCGCGCAGCAACCACGACCACCACCACCACCACGACCACCACCACCACCATCATCGTCGTCACGAGCAGCAGCTCCCACGCGTGCTGCGAACAAAGCGCGGCGGGCGTGCGTGCGGGCTACCCACGGACACTTGTGCTGTTGCCATCTTTGTTGCTGCTGCTACTGCTGCCCCACTACAGCCCTAGCGCTGCGTCGCACTTCGTGTCCCTCTCCTCCTCCTCCTCGTCTCCCGCCAAGTGGACGGGGAGCGCGGGCTACGGGTGGCGTCGTGGGCGCGTGGGCCCGGAGCGTGAGTGCAGGGAGCTCACCTGGCCCGACACCGCAGCCACCACCGCGCTCGCTGTGCTGCCGGGGGTCGCCCCGGGGTCTCCCGCGATCGCCGCTGTCGCTGGAGGCTCGGCCTGGGGTGAGGGGGGTGGGGAGTGGGCGTTGGTGGGCGGGGCTTTGTGAGAAGAGTAGGCGGAGCCTGTATGTGTAGGGGGCGGGGTCAGCGTGAGCAGGGGTGGGGCTTGTGTGAGAGAGGAGGTGGGGGCTGTGTGAGAGGGGGGGGCTGTGTGAGAGGGGGGGGCTGTGTGAGAGGGGGGGGGCTGTGTGAGAGGGGGGGCTGTGTGAGTGCGGGGGGGCTGTGTGAGAGGGGGGGCTGTGTGAGAGGGGGGGCTGTGTGAGAGAGGGGGCTGTGTGAGAGGGGGGGCTGTGAGAGAGGGGGGGGCTGTGTGAGAGAGGGGGCTGTGTGAGAGGGGGGGGCTGTGAGAGAGGGGGGGCTGTGTGAGAGGGGGGGGGGCTGTGTGAGAGAGGGGGCTTTGTGAGAGAGGTGGGTGTGAGAGGGGGGGCTGTGTGAGAGGGGGGGCTGTGTGAGAGGGGGGGGGCTGTGTGAGAGGGGGGGCTGTGTGAGAGGGGGGGGGCTGTGTGAGAGAGGGGGCTTTGTGAGAGAGGAGGTGGGTGTGAGAGGGGGGGCTGTGTGAGTGCGGGGGGCTGTGTGAGAGGGGGGGGTGGGTGTGAGAGGGGGGGGCTGTGTGAGAGGGGGGGTGGGTGTGAGAGGGGGGGCTGTGTGAGAGGGGGGGCTGTGTGAGAGGGGGGTGGGTGTGAGAGGGGGGGGCTGTGTGAGAGGGGTAGGAGGAGTCTGCCGCAAGAGAAGGCGGAGTCAGTGTGAAGGGGGTGGGGCCTGTGCGCTGAGAAGGCGGGGCTGCGTGACGTGCCTGCCCGTGTGGGTGAGGTGGAGGAGGGGGGAATGAATGGAGAGGAAGAATCGACGACTCGGATCGAGTCCCCGGATCGCGAGCCCCACGTGAACCTCGGCTGTGACTTGAGGCTCCCTCTATGTTGAACTTCTTTCGCACCCTACGTAATCAACCGTGCTAATCAGAAGGAGACTTTAGGCTATAATACTAATTAACTTATTTATCCAGGAGGGCCCACACTGAGTCGTAAGAGTCTTTACAGGAGGGTCCTGCTACATTGGGTATTTATTTGAATGGCTTTACGAGTGAGAGAAATCCCAGATCGCCCGGAGAAAACCACACGCGGAAGGTGGCAACAGCAACTCCATCCCCGTACAGATGGAAACAGGTGGCGAATAGTCGACTTGCTGTACTGCCATCTCGACGCTCACGGTGCTGGATTAGAGGCCACAACACAGTAGCAAGCCACCTCCGTTCGGCATCACGGCGCGAATGAGAGAGAGACTTCAGCAGTGGAGAGGTGGGAAGCAGCGAGACGCGTTAGACGGGACGGTGCAGAGGGCAGGCAGCTAGGAAAAGCCAAGCAGCAGAGACAGAACAGAGATACGTTCCACGCCAGACGACACAGGGGGAACAGTAGAGACAAGGTTACACATTAGGTGTGTTGTACAATACAGGGGAGAGTACAGAGAGTGCACACGAGACAAGAGAGACGGAGAGACAGCACAGACGATCGCGACGTGCGAGACAAACACCGCAGAGCGGACAGACGCCGGCACGCACGGCACAGTCGACTCCTGAATAGAGAGGCAACTCCTCCCCGTGTCGCTGGGGGGTTAATCGCTACCCCCTAAGCCGAGAAGGGGATCAGACTGCGAGCGAGGGAGGGGTGGGATAGGGGGTGGAGGGGAGAGACTCGTGGGGATGGGAGGGGGCGGTGACGGGTGAGGATGAAGGCAAAGGGAGGAGACGGGACAGTGAGTCGAGTGGATGTAAGACAGAGACTTGTTTATCGGGAGTTGTGACCAGGCTTGCCATCAATCTACTGCTGGATGAGTGCAGATGCAGATTTAACAAAAAAAAAACCAGAGCGCTCTCCTGCCTCAAAAACAGGTGAACATGACTGTTCACCTGTTCAGTCTTTCCCATGATCATGGACTGGGAATGCCCTCTCTTCCACGATCGCCACGTCATGAGCTGCAGGCACCGCAGAGGGCCTGGGTTCAAATCCGGGCAGCAGCTGCCAATGGTTAAACCAGACTTCTCGAGTGGGGCGAATTGGTGGTCTCGGAACAGTGATCAATGACTGGACAAAATAACATCGTTAAATGTGGGTTTGTGCTTATTTATTTGGCTCAATTCCAGCTCTGAGAATAAAAAAAATATAAACTTCCAGTTCTGAGAATAAAAAAACATTTTTAATATGAATTTATATATTGGGTTGACTGTCATGGGACAAACAATCTGATAGCAAGGCGCTGTGGGAAAAGTGCTCCCCACTGTGGAAATGGTTAAAAGGCCACTTGTGGATTTTCGGAAACCCTTTGAAAAATCCCTTGTCCGAGTCGTTCTATAACACGCGGGGTGCGGTGCTCTGGGCTCTCCGGATGGAATATGCACCGCATTACGTGACGCCAACGGCAAAAATTAAATGAATTTGGAAGAAAGACCAACACAAATCATGTGCCACACAGGCAGCACCCCCTCGTATCCAGAGTGGGACCAAAAGTGGAGGGCACTGCCCCAGCTGCAGAGTAAATGTCCCAGCAGCGGCAATTCAAGGGGTGCTCTGATTAATACGGGGGGCACCAATATTCACATTCTCAAAGGATATTCCATTTGAGAACACACCTTGGAGGTCCCGTGTACACTGTACATATTTTGTGTGATCTGGTCAAGGGAAGGTGGTGGTAATGATTGGTGGCATTAATGGCATTACCGATGATTTACATTGTAAACTTGAACCTCTCCTACCACCCGGGGGTGGGGGCTCTGAATTGAGATGGGGGGCGGCACTGCACTTGATTAGTAGGGGGTGGGACTCTTCCACAGATGCCTCCTCTTACAATCACTACCACAAACTACCTCGTACGATGTACACCAGTTGACATTTGCAGAAAATGACACAATGCCCCATTTCTGCATCTCCGTACATTTGTATGGGCCTGGTAATGCCACATTGACCAATAGAATCGTCGCCACTGAAGTTGTTCCCCCCGGTAACGAAATCGTTGTAATTCAGCACATGGTTTTAAACGAGCTGGACTTAGGGCAATGGCTAAGGCAGCCGGCGTACGAAACCCAATCTCGCTCGACACGAAACAATCCCAACCACGCACTCCCCGCTGTCGTCGCTTGCGGGACTACGCCACTACGTTGTGCACCGGCCGTGAAATGTTATTGCTCCGCTTGGGAGAGGGAGAGTCTCCGTTGCACATTTCAGGGAAGTAGCAACACGATAGCCGACCCCCAGTCGCCGCGCACACAGACGGAACAGCTGAATCTCAGAGCGCGAGCGGGGAGATGGTGAGTCGGGCGGGGATTCTTTTATCGCTTGTGGGGGAAAGGTCGCCGAAGATGGGGTAGTAAGAGAGCCAAACTGCATTGAAGTATGAAGAAGGACCATTGCCCGAAACGTCGCCTATTTTATCTTTGCTTTTAAGGCCACGATGTTGTCGATGAACGTGTTGAGTGTTCGTGTTCATTGTGCTTTCTGCACCACTGCCTTTGCAACAGCATCACCAAATAGTTTGCTATAGATCGCAATGGGACTCGGGATGGGGAACAATTTGTTTAAAGCATCCTTTAATTTAGAAAAAGATGAAAGTGCAGCCCTGCAGTTGTTTGCGAATGCCACTACTGGCAAATTACCTCCACTCGAGGGAGTTTTAGAGATCTCCTCTACAGGGTATTTGACCTATTTAATGTCGGTCAGATGTCTTGCAAGAAATGGGAGGGGAGTACCCACTGGAGATAATTTTGCAGTGAGAAGGGTTTTAGAGAAGAGAGATGGAAAAGAGAGATGGAAAAGAGAGCTGAGGACGGAGCCGTGGGGAGCACTGGAGCTAAAAGGGATCGATAGATATTGTAAGAAGTCATAGGAGCAGAACTGGGTATTCATTAATTTAAATATTTTAACCCGAAACTAGATACAGCGCATATCTCTAACGTTTAACATACAACAACATTAATGAGCAATGAAAGATTAAGAAGCAAATAAGCAAAAACAAATCAAATCTGAACATTATGACTGCAGTTAAATCACGGACGTACAAAGTGCAGGATGTTGTATGTTTCGTGTAGGGTCACCTCTCATCTATAATCGTCATCGGTCTGACATTACGGCCACACGGTGTTGTGGCAGAGAGCTCAGAGGTTTCCAAAGTTAACATCCCAGATGGGAGTGTGACGGCCCATCTGCCCTCTGAGGTCAGATGTCAAGAACGGTTACTCTATGGAGAGACCATAGGAATGTGTAATGTCCACCATTGGCTCTGGGCTGAGAATCAAGGCCAGCACAGCCTAATCCTTGGTTGAGCCTGGGATACTAAGACTAATGTTGACTCATTTTCACGAGCGTTCCACATGTTCAAAGTTAAACAACACCACGCACACCCACACACATACGTTTAAGTACATTAGCTGTGGAGATGCAAGTCCACTAAAGTAGTGCACATGTATTGTCACGTGTGTGTGCACCCGTTGCAGGTGTGACTGTTTTCATGCTATAAACACGAAGTCGTGTTCATTCACCAACATTTAAGTCCATCGACTGTGAGGCCTTCTCAACAAAAGTTTTTTCCCATCAGCCATTGCCCCTCCACCGCCTTCCTGCCTTCACCAACGCCCAAACATGATCGAGCAACCCGCAAGACCGACACGGCGTGAGGAGGCCTTCATCCAGCAGTGGATTGATTAGAGGGTTGTAACCTTGTCAATACTGTAGCTCCATCCATCGGTCAAAACTGCAAAAACTCCTTTTTTCCGTCTTCCGTGTAGCTCGGTATGCGTGTATTATCTGAGCAGCAGGGCCGACCCTTGACCTTGCCTCGTTATCAATCAGCCTTCCATAACATTATCTGAACCACATGGGAATTCCACGTGTGCGGCCTTGGAAAGCCGCACAGCACAAGTGATAAACAAACCGACAGACGATACCGCGTCGTAGTAGAGACGCTATCGAGCCGGTTCGCATCAGAACCGATTATATTATCGTTCACGGAATTGACTACGGTACTTAAATACCGTAATCGGAGAGCCTAGGATTTATGGGTCCAAAGGCCCGAAATATCAAGTAGCCAGCAACAAACCGCACTCGACGTTGTAACAGATACACGTGAACACATTTCTTGACTTGAGCAAGGCAAGTGACACTGCACCACGTACCCCCTGCTCATCCCTCCTCTTCCACGCTGCTCTAACGCTCTCCAACTCCTTTGCAGTATACAAAGCCGGCTCTGTAATGTTACACTGGGCTAAGATATTTCTTCCACGGCTGCCAACCTTAAATACACGTTGTATGATTATTATTTAAGGTTGGAAGCCACGGTAGAAACAACGTTGGCCAGTGTATTCATGACAAAGCCACCATTGTACGATGGGACACAAATGCAACCTCACGTGCTTTGTGACGTCAAAGGCTACGACGTTGAGCGATTCTACGAGACGGCTGTCCGACCAGGTGTGCGTCACGTGACCGCAGTGACTCGACAGGTGTTCCATGTTGGGCTCGCGCAGGACCCGTCGCGAGAAGGAGCGGAGTGGCAGCCTCAGGAGGGATCGTGCCCGAGAGGATGTCAGGGCACCACCTGTTAATTGGATTGTGGATAAAAAAAAATAATGTCAATGACCTCTGGGCCTGGCCTTTGTGGACTATGAAAACGCATTCTAACTCGGTGAAAATTGGTGTAGCCATCCAAGCTCTCACAAGTCAAGGTGAAATATATATTTAAATATAATAATACCATTTACAAAAACGGAACGGGCAAATTTAGATTGGATGCAGAAAGTACGGTATATGTACTAAGATATGTATTCAAACAGGAGTGGAGCATGGTGGCATGTTCCCACCAAGGTTATTCACAGCAAAATAAAGAGGATGTTTGCCGATAAATGGAGAAACATGAACATAAATGTAGAAAGTAATAACCATCTCAGATTTGGTAGGGGCATTGTCATTATAGCAACCAATAGAAAATTATTACAGGAAATTATTGCAGGTTATTTTAAAAGCAGATACCAGTAAATTGGAAAGGCATTCAAGAAATTATGACAATTACTCGTACAACTGAAAAAAATGTCTGTACTTTAATACATGGGGTGGTGTGTGTAAATATATCACAGAGGTCAATGGCAGATCTGTATATAACCGAACATTTTATTTAGCTCAACAGAACCGCTCAATCTATGCAAGTATAATACAGGTAACAGGCGATGACAATGGAGAGTCTGTACCATGAATCCACACAACAGCCATGTTCTACAATGTCCGGCTCTGGGGCATCAATAATGCACGCCTTCCTATATGTGGAAACACTTGTAGCCCATACATGAATCAGTCTTAACTTAATTGAATTCAATGTCATGGTCACGTGAAGACAAATGCACTGATGCGCATGAGGCTAGCGTGATAAAGGCTACAAATTGGAGTGTTAGAAGCAAACACGTTGGAATACATCTCGGCATTTTTAATGCAACATTTTTTAAATGTTAAATCTTAATGCATCACAAATGGACGGCAGTGAACGTAACGTTTTCGCACAAGTGGTCATACATTAGATGTCTACTTTCATTTCATTTTATCAAAACAACAATTGCAGATTGTTTCAGAGCGAGCACCGTAATTCATCTGGAACAAAACCCTGAACTCGGGGTGCGGGACCCACGGCCCTCCGTGAGGCCCCCCGTGAGCCTCATGTGGCCCATGACCACGACTGCCACGGCCTGTGGGCCACACGAGGCCTACTACTTTGACGTGTCGCGCAAATGATATCCATCCGTCACCGCAAGCATCTCAGCCACACAAATCGAGTACTAGAGGGGACGAATTTTGACCCAGCAACATCGCGTTTCTTAATTCATAACGCTCAGTAACTTGTGTCGCTGGCGTAACGTTATTTCCTTTCGTTATCATTGGATAACGACGCGAGGGTTTGTGTTAATGTGTGGTTGCCCACCAAAGATATGAAAGTCATATTTGGCCCTCAATGAGGAGAATGTGCATCAGCCAGTACCGAAAACTCCAAAAGGACTCGGACACTTGCCATGAGCAGCCACTTGGTTCATAAAGGTACCTACTGATACTGCATCGTTGTTAAAAAGTATTTGGTTTGTGCAAACAGTTGTACACCAAACCGTGAACAGGAATTCTGCGACTGCTCGTGCAGTCAGAACCATGGCTCTAGTCTGGAAGATCACATTGATTATATTGGTAAAAACACAAAAATAAAAATTGGTTTTCTGTATCGACACAAGCACTGCTTCCCCCCAATGTTCTGTTTGGAATTGATAAAAGCTACCATACTGCCTCTACTTGACTACTGTGACATCGTGTATAAATCAGCCCCAAGTACTGTACTGAAGAAGCTTGATTCCATCTATCACTCGGCCTTAAGATTTACATTGAACTGCCCATGTAGGACTCACCACTGTGATTTCTACATTGGGTCAAACTTAACATCTCTTAATGTTCGACGGCTTGTGCACCAGATCTTATTTATTCACGATGTACTTACAAAAAAATCCGCAGACTACCTGCTGGATCTCCTCTCTGTTTCAAAGAACAAATTCGACCTCAGGTCTTCGCTCAATTACCAGCTTCACATTCCCTATTGCCGTACAAAAACTGGAGGAAGGGCCTTTGCTATTGATGCCCCCAGAGTCTGGAATGCTATTGCCAATAAACTGCAACTTGAATCGCTACCAATGAGATCTTCTCTCAAAACTGCTCTAGAGGAGTTGTACACCCCTAGCTGCCACTGCTATTCATTGGCGTAAAATAAAATAAGATGTTTCGCTCCGGATGACGCTGCAAAGTATTATCTGTATTTTGATTTAGCGTGTTGGTCTTAAAGGTGCATTGAAAAATTTGATACTCCGACCGATGCTTCTGTTGTTGTGGAGTAACTCATGCAGCCAGCTATGGCTCTAGGATTTGTTGTTACATGTTATTTATGTAGTTTATTGTAAAAATTCGGTCACAATCCTTGTGATCACTGTTACGTTGCAATTATGGCTTTATTTTTTGGTGATTTGGAAAACGTTTTTTGGTTTGGACATGTTTGTTTTGTTGTAGTACGGAGTTAGACTGATGGCCTTAATCTAAGTTTTTATGGTTGTTGTTTGACTTGCATCCCACTGGGATATTTTTTACACACAGCATTGGTGTACGGTGCTTTTTTCATGAATATTTTTGCTGTTTTTTTCCATGGATTTTCTGTTTGCACAGTCACATAGCCACTTTAAGATGATTTCCTTGTTCGTGTTTTTTGTTTGTTTGTTGTGGTTGCACCCGATTCAAGAGCCGAATGGCTCACAGGGCTATACCAAAATAAACTGAACTCAAACTGAACTGGTAGACATCAATCGGCCAGCTCAATAACACGAAGGCAGATGTCGTCTGAAACACATTTCAGGAAAGAGTAAATAAAATACAAATACTTTTTCTTTGTAACATTTGAAAAACACGTTAAACCGCCCCAAAAATGCTCACGCTTTCTAAGAAATGAGCAATAATGGATAAAATAATCAAACATTGCATTTTAAGATGATGCATGCGTCCGGTTGCATGTGACAGAATCGATGTACTTCGATGAACACGTGCTGTTGTTGGGGTGGAACAGTGGTGCTGCGGTTAGCGCACTGCCCAATGAACCTGGCAAGACCCAGTTCGATTTCAGGCCACGGCGATGATGAGTGGCGAGTGAGATCTGAACCGGTCCTGCCGCCCGCCGCTCCCCTTTCACCAACTCTCTCACCGGTGTTCTGATGGTCAAAACAACCCCAATAAGTGATATGGCACAGAGAAGCATTGATCCAGTAGATTGACGAAGGGCTGTAAAGGATAATTATGAACAGTACTGCTGCTCGATGAATCGGTTGACATGACGCCTGCGGCCCCGGGGACCGATTCTTTAAAACATTTATTGCGACAATGCATCGAATCCACTGCAGGGTGAATCGTTACACTCCTCATTTCTCAACAGATGAACCGAATTAATTTAATAGATTTTTCATGCTTGGAGAATATGTTCATGATAAACATACATCCAACCATTCTTTTGTATCATCATAATTTTATCCATCGTCAAGTCACTGCTGGATGAAAGCCTCCCAAGCTGCCGGCACCTGTCAAGATCCTGCGGTATAACAATTGACCCAGCATCTACACACGAACTCATTTCATTACTCCATCTCTGCAATGGACGTATTATCTGATCATTTGTATCACATCAGGAAATTCAGTCAAAAGTTTACTTTATTAATCGTGCGCGTATGAGTGAACTGCAACGCATTATGTGCACTGCTAATACAGTAATTACTTTCGAAACAGATTAAACAGAACTCTGATGAGATTAATTTTCAGTTTTCTACGTGTCGACACTTTAGCCATTCCACTGTTGTGTCACGGTTTGAGATTTGCATTCCTTATTTTTTTTAAATCCAGCAATCTCTGAAATATGAATCTAAAAAACCGCCAGTGAAAGTGGTTCACGGCCACATTTCTGAAACAAAACCACTTCCCACCAATAAGTAACGTTTGCCACATGTACCATGGAAAGCGTATAACAACAAAAAATATGTAAACACAGAGGGTCTAATCTTCCCATCAGTGCCACTACACAGGATTTTCACGAACCTCGCCGTGCGCCAGATGCAATTTAAGGATGGATGCTTTTATCCTGCGTGTTTAAATTGTATGTAAGTGGTGCATTCTGGGTTATTTGCAACACAAATGTGTGGGGGGGGGGGTGCACACGCTCACAGAAATGCATCTGTGCACTCTCATGGCATCGTCTCAGTGTTTTCACGGAAATAATTTGGTTTGTGTGCATTGGTGCGAGCGTCCTGCACATTCCACGCACAAATGAATGTCCACCAGGGATGTGCTCTCAATGAATAAAAAAAACTAGAAAATCAGGCCTAAATGTATATTTTTTTTGTAATTTTAAATCGATCTGACAACCGAAAATTACATCGCTGGTATGGTGTCATTCGTACGATTTTCCCACCATAAGAGGTATCGCACGGCATTGAGTGATATCACCATTGTAGTGCAAATACATTTCACGTTACTACAGAGTGCAAATGATCCGAAAGTCCAAAAAAATTCTCAAATTGTGTTTAAATATCCCAACAAAAATTTTCCTAAACTCATCCCTAATGTATACACTTGTGTTTGGATCAAAAATCTATGTTGGAAGCACCCTAAAATTGTATCTCATCATTCAGGAACACAAATCCTGCGCTGTGCATTGCGCACTATGATGGAAAGTTCAAACACTCTACGTTTGCTTAAACATCAGTCACGCAACAAAACTTATCGCGTTAAAACGTAGGATAACACAATACTCTGAGAAAAGAAATGTGATTTTTGTTTCACTCACACACGCACAAGCAAGCACGTTAACAACGGAACGTTCGCGCAAAGAGGAGCTGTTTACCAACTTAACGTCACAAAACAAAATTGACGATAGCTGAGCAAGGTGACCGTTTTTCCCGCGAGTAGAGGCCCCGACGGGGTGGGGGGGAAGCGACGACGCAGTCCACTCGAGCCACACGGTGCACCTCCCATTAGCACGGTTGGCTACGTATGGTGCGAAAGAAGTTCAACATACGTACATACCACGATCACTACCGGAGCCGCACTCATTGCCCAATAACACGCACGCACGCACTGCTGGTGACGTAGAAAACTCAAACGTTGCGCAAACCCGCTTTACATTTCTCAAGTCCAGTGTCCCCCAAAGTCACGCCTCTTGTCTGACCCTTGTGGGTGATTGAAACAGCGCACCGGTGGCAAAGTGGGTTTGTGCGATTAAGTCACACGAAGCTCTTGCGATTTCATCGCTGAAATTCCACGAACTATATCATCGGGATTATTATTCATTTTGAATTTCACGACGTAAAAAAAAGTTTGTAGCACCTGTATAAGGCTGAACTGTTCAATGAAATCCGCGTGAACTACAATCTGCGCGTGGATATGGCAAACGTGAAGTGCATAATCCTTCGTATAATGGGGAGGGCACACCACGAGTCGGTAAGGGCTGTTGTCTTTCGCCGCTTCAGTTTAAGGTGTCACAGTCATGTAAACCGACTTGAACAAATGCACTCTCACGTTAAACGAGGGTTGATATTTCGTAAGAGTCAGGAACTTTTAAAAAATTCACAACACGACGAGCCGGCGCGGATCCGACGGCAAAGCTTTGCCGCGGTATTGCCGATTCCCCCACTTTAACCACCAGCACGACCGACGCACGTCTGTCACCGTGACGCCGACGTGAAGGCCCTGTCACGGAGGAACGCCGGTTGGGCACGCAGCAATACGTAGTCGTGCCACAAGCCGGACCTCGCCGTCTACCGAGCCACGTGCACCTTCCGTGGCACGCTCTGGTGACGTTCCGCAGCCAGCACGCGGGTCAATGTGCAAAACGCCCGTGACGTCCCGAACTCCAACTCGCCGTCGCTCAGCCTGGCTCAATTCCTCCAATGTCTGTGCGTTAAGTTGGGATTGCTGTTGTTGGGATTGCTGTTGTCGGGGTTGTTGCCGTTCCAATATCCGTTCCTTCATGCTGGATTTGTTTGGCCCGCGTTCTAGCCTTGCGTTTACGCCCGTCCCCCCCCCTCCCCATAACATGGTGAGCAAGCCGCCTAAAATCTCAGTGGCCTATGTCTTCTTTCCCTTCGATCGCGATCCTGGCTTCATGCTCAAATGGACAGGTTCTCTTCGGCCACCCTAGGGACGACTGCTGCGGCACCTGGGCAGCTGTGGGTGACACTGTGCGGGGTTTCTGTGCCACAACCGATTGAGTGACGTGCTGCAGACAAGCGGCGCAGCTCCGCGCACATGTTCATCGGTACAAGGGAGTCTGATCAACGCCTTCGGTGAGCACCCTGTATAGACCACTTTTATGTTATACCGACAGGCAGCGGTAGATTGCTTTATCGATTGATATCAACTGACCTAGCAATACATGCATTGAAGCACGCGTGTTCATATCGATTTTGAATGTAAGGGGATCACATCGCCCCTGCAGCCACTAGAGGCGCTACCACTCACCGTAATGTGAAAAAAATATCGATTGCCAATCAACAATTCCTTGAATCGCCGTGGGGGGAGATCATTTGCCAGGGACTGGTTGACACAGAAAGAAATCTATTTTATGCTGCCAAGGCCTATTATTTTACATTGAGAGCCAGTAAGGGTCTGTAAAGTGCACGCAGTTTGCTAAGCATACACTCCTGCAGCAATATAACCAACACATGGCACAAACATCCTGTTCTTGTTGTTGCCGTCGTCAGCCTGGAACTTCCCAGCTGGGGCAAGGCCCTCGCCCACAGACACCTTGCAAACAACCCCCCACGCGGGACACCCATTTCAAGAGAAACGAACCGGATCTGCGGAATCACCGATTCTCTCCCTAACTGCACCGACCGCATTTGTCCCGCTCCGCGAACGCGCGTTGGGATGGTGTGCCCGCCCCCCGCCCTCTCTCCCCCGCGAGGCACCGCGCTACGGCTGGCAGCTGGTGGCGGCGACTTCCTGGTAGAAGCGCGCCACGAAGCCGGCGTCGGCCTGCTCCAGGCGGTTGAGGAAGCCGTTGCGCTCGTCCTCGCTCCAGCTCTCGAACCACTGCGTCCACAGGCGCAGCTGGCACTCGAAGATGCTGGGCGCGCGGTCCGACACGCCGAGCGCCTGCAGCCCGTCCAGCAGCGCGCACAGCTTCCCCGGCGTCGCCTTGAGCACGAGGTCGCGCAGGAAGCGCTCGCGCTGCGGGCCGCTCCAGCTCTCGTACCAGTGCAGCACGCACTTCACCTCCTGCGCCGTGATGTACGACGTGATAGCCGCGGCCTCGTCCTCCTCAGACATGGCCACCGGCACCTGGAAGCGCGTGCGAACAAACGCAATCAAACACCACAACGACAACGGTAACAATAACACAAGATGACCGTTAACGTCCTTGTGCAGAATATAAGCCAACAACGTTGGCTTATATTCCAACAACGTTGGCTTATATTCCTCCATGAAAAAAAAATATTTAAGTATTTTTTTAAACACCCTCTCAGCCACATGGCCTTCTGAGAGTTGTTTTTGTTCAGCAGCATCAGCTCAACACCAGTAAACTGTGAACCGGCTCCAACATTCAGTGTCTCATTAGCAGTGATGCTCGTTTGAACCAATGCTGGTGAACTGCCAGATGTTTAGGCAAAGACCCTCTCTGTTACATATGGGTCCTCAACAATACTTAAGTTTTTTTTTTACACGAAGGGACAGAAGTGGAAAGGAGGCGAATAGTCACCTTATTTATTTTGTTACTGATATTCCCCATAGTTGCGCCCATGATTAACTGCGTTACAAATACAGTAGTTGAGTCACAGTTGCGTGCAGACATTTTTATATGGTTGCTTTAAACCCAACGGTATACACTCTAAACAGCTCGATTGAAACGCAGTCTTCAAGACGCACCTCCCCGAGTGAACAACGGAGAAGAGGGCGCATCTTACAATCCGGAGAAGGCCGAGTCTGTGCCCCTTCGAGGCTGATGGGCCGCACCTCAGAAGTCTGATTGTCCGAATGTTTGCCAAACTCATGCAGCAGCACCAATTGCTCCGTGAACAGGCAATATAAATGAAATTACAGGTAGATTAAAAATAACAGCCGATTTTTCTTACAGTTGCCGAGAGAGCTTGCCATTGTGCATGACTGATGTTAGTCATTTACAGAGAGAGTTGAATAGTTTTGGTTGGGGAGGGTTGGTGGTCAGATGATGGATTTCGACAAGCTGCTATTCGTCATCCGCATTTGGATTTATTTTAAGGCATACCAGGAGTCTCGACATTGTATATTGAATTATTAAAATAAATGTGTTGAGATGCCAGCCATATACGACATCAACAGGGTTATACACAGGGCTTTAATTCTCACCGCATATTTCCTGGTTTGCTGGTAGACTGGAGATGGCTCATGACTTAGAGCCACAGCCATAGCGAGAAGAATGACGGATGCAGTGTGCCAGGTATAATAGTAAGTAATATTACTATTATAAAAATGACGTTCAAGGGACAAATTCTGGTAAAATGCTACTAGGGACTCGAGATTTTAAAAAGGTCAAGAGGTCATCATGGCCAACGCCACTAGAGCCACCAAAGCCACCGGAGCCACCGTACCTCATCATCGCTCTCATCTGGCAGAGCCTATGACAGAGTTAACACCCAACCCCATAAGTCTGCTCTTACCACACCCCACCATCTGGCTTTAGGTCCACCCTTTGGGTTTTCCCCACTGCGTTTCCGATCTCGGTAGCCTTCCATTTCCCTTCCTGCACATTTTTCCCTATCGGCAGCGATCTCCTCTTCCGCATTACGTTCACAATTTTTCTCTATCGTATTCTAGTTTTTACTTTCAAGTAGTTTACCCCGTCCTCCCAGGAATTTCATAGCATTCTCGGCATGCACCTAAGTTCAAAGGGTCAAAGCTTCTTTTATAGGCGTTTTAGGGAAGGGCAATCTCTCTGGCCTGTGGAGCCGGTGGATACAGAGCGGAACGTAAACAGACATTTAAAGACAAGAGCACCTCAAACGTTTACGAGTAATTAAGGCACCAGGCCCCGTCACACCACACTGCCCCAGTGGCCCCTCTTCCTGTACTGCTGTAGCTGGCTTCCCCAGTGCTCCATCTCGAGTAGGGGTGTCAAACACACGGCCCGCAGGCCGCACCCGGCTCACCAAGAGCCTTCCTCTGGCCTGCCATGTGTTTTAATAAAAACAAATTTCAAACCTTCTACTCAAATACAACCTGAACTTAAACCGGCCATTGAAACGGGGGACTTGGTGTGCCCTGTCGCAAAAAAACAACAACTTTCTTTTCCCTCGCTTTCGGGTTTTGAATGGGAAAATGAATACCATATTATTATGCTTTTCATTTTCATCGACCAAACTGTGTGACCCACAGGAGGTGCATTTGAATCCAAACCGGCCTGCTTTCCAATGAAGTTTGACACCCCGATCAGGAGCCATACTTCGTCCCCTTCCCGTCCCCTGCAACACCGACGTCCAGCCCTCATGGACAAAACACGAGTCCATACCGACACCTGTGCCATTTGCATCAAAACTGCACGCACTCTCACATCCCGAGCCCCCTCCCTGCCCTGCTCTAGAAATCATCGCTGCCGCACAGGGGCATCCATGCAACAATGTGAAGGGTCAGTCTGAAATATGAACCTCACACGAGGCTGGGTGACTCAGAGGTCAGGGCGCTGAACTGGCAACCACAGATACCCAGAGTTAGAATCCAGGCAGCTGCCTGTCATTAAATTAGGTTCGCATGTCTAGAGAGTTGATTGTCTCAGCCTGGCCACCAATGACTGCACACAAAAAGCCACCACAGTAAACTTGGTTCTGCGCTTAATTTGGCTGAATTCCAGCTCTAAGAATGGAAAATAACGGTTTGAATGTAATTTGTTAAACGTGTTTGTGGTGAGTGAGAAAGTGCTGCCCCCTACTGCGTTCATCATAAGTCACTTGCAGCGATCTCAGTGGTGGCTCTGTCATATCCACTTCCATGGACTCCACTGCTCTGTGAGAGATCCGAAGGATACCTCATCTTATGATGACATGCAGAGCATCGTCAGGATTATTATATTTTATTGTTATTTCTGATTACGCTCGTTCACCCAGGAAAGCCTCACTGAGTCTCAAGACTCTTTTTCAGAACGGTCCTGCCAAGTTTTCACAGTATGGGGGCGATGTTGCCACTGTGTGTAATGCCAATTGAGTCAGGAACGTATTGCTGTGAGGCGTGAGTGTTACCGCTGCCCATAAAAAATTTTTGTAGAAAAGCAAAACATTTTTTCATAAAAATGTGAACCTGACAAGCACACACATGCATGGCCAGCAGCGAATTTCTATGCAATCAGACACCGACCACTACATCATTAATCAAGACCACCTCCACAATCTGTATTACCACTGTTGTTGTATCTGCCCCACACACCCCCACGCAGCAATCGAAGGAGCGGGTATATTTTTGTCAAGGTCATCTCACCGTTTCAAAAATATATTTTTAAATACTTTTTTTCAAGGTCAGAGCGATTTCAGGGCTGTCAGAAATCGGACAGCTCGCTCGCGAAGGATGCAGCCCGCAAGCCCAACGTGTGAGCTCATTCATGCCGCCCCATCGGCTGGTGCCGCCCCACTTGCTCCACTTGCCTTACCCACGTTCTGAAACGTCTGCAGACGCACTGCCCTTTTGAGCACGACTTGACGTGCGTGTGAGACACTTTCCCGCACCAAACCTCGCTTGCCCGGTGTCTCCTCCTGCCCCCTCGTGCCGTGCCCAGCGCTAAGTTGCTTGTGAGCAACCAGCCGTTGCCGCTGCTCCGTCTCGTGCCGTGCAGCTCTTTCGTGAACCAAATTCGTTGTGGTAATGTTCTTTGTCGTTATAACATTCTTACCCCGTGCCCCGACTGGACATGTGTGAAAAAGAGCTTTATAGCTCATCGGATTCCTCCAGTGTAAATAAATATTCGGATTCTTATTCTGAACCTGCTGCTCGATGAAGGCCACCATGCGGGTCATGAGGATTATTTTACCATACTTCACCAGGCTAGTCAGAGCTAGTCGGTGAAGTTGGGGCACACATATGTTCGAACACAGTACAATGGATTTTTTCTGCACTGCCCTCTACTGACAATGTAATACAACGCCTGTTTTAAGCACGGTGGGTCTCATCTGAGCACTAGCCAGGCTCACACCTGCTTAGCTTCTAAGAGTAAAGGAGATCAGGCACATTCCGAATGATTTGGTCACGGGCCCTGCTTCCACAATAGAATGATTGAGCTTAAAAGAGCCATGCTGTTTCATGGAAAACTACATCTTTAAGAGATTCATGAATTCATAAAACACTGCTGAACGATGAGCATAGATATGGATGGCTGTAGTCTATACGACCACCGAATGCTGCAGGTTCTGTTTAACAGTGTATGCACTGCTGGTAATACGTTAAAACCAGTCCGAGTTTACTTTATTTGAACAAGATTTGTGGGGAAAGTAGAGGTTTTCCGAGGACCATGGGTTGATGGGTACCTTATTCTGGTGAACAACACATGCCAAGTTGATGATTTACATGTCTATTAAACTCTAACACTTTATAGCCAGCGTATATAAATGGTGCAGTGCTCAGTGTACTTTGCAATGAACTTGGCGGTCCAACTTTTGATTCCGGGCCACAGCTGGTTTCACTTGCGAGTGATATCGAAACTAATTCTGGGCCTCCCTCTTTACCAACCTACACTGACCAGTGTGGTGAAGTATGGTTAAACAATCCCACGACCAACATGGTGTGGGTAGGACTTCATCCAACAGAAGAGATTGACAAAGGGATAAAAAAAACTATTTTTTACTTTATATACAAGATGATTCTTATCTACAACTTTCGCTACTCTATAAGGGTTGCTCATCATGATAATCTTCCAGTTATCCACATACTAAAAAGGACATCTAAGAGGAAGATGGCTGCAGACTCACCAGAATATAAAAGTCACCGTGCCTGTGATGTTACACGCAAGATGGTATTTTCGTTTGGCACGTCACAGTGCGTGCGCGGGACACGCGTGACATGACATATGCCGAAATGTTAGCGGCGGGTCAGGGTGACATCAAGAATAGTTGGGTGGAGTTGTTTGGACACAAGTTTACTCAGAAAATCGCACACGTGAGGCAATGCTATACTCAAACGCTCTGCGGTTTGCGGACGTCGGAGACCACATCAAGTTTTTCATTTACATATTCTTAGAGTTGGAACACAAACGGCTCCCACCGGAGAGACACGAAACTGAGGGATGAACACACTCAGGAATTCTGGGCTGCGCCGAATTTGGCTCCTGCACAGAATGTATTTATAAAGGACGTGGCTGGGTGGCTCAGGGACCTTTCCCTGTGTTGTCAGCGAGCACTTAAAAGCTGGGTTAGGCTCCAGGCCGCCCCCAGTGATTGAATCGGGTTCCCAAGGGTGGCGAGTTGACGTCTCAACCCACTCACTCACAACAGCCTAAAAACTAAAAAATATAGCTGATGGCCACTGACAGATGTAAATTCTAATGGCATCATGGAACAGCTATGAAGAGCAAATGTGGCACATAGTTGCACTAAAGCTTACAATTATAAAAAACACAAACATTTAAAATTATCAAATTTGGAGCCCATATTTGTTTATCGTGAATTCTAAATTTCTCAACGTCTCAGGCTAAACACTCACAATAAATTTTCCCCATCACCAGCGAACCAAAGTCAGTAGTCTTTTATGGAGTGTGACACTAAAGCTGCCTGCTTTCCAGTTACTAATATGAAGTGGTTTTTCACTTGACTCAGCATAATCCAACGCTGAGGATTACACATTTTGATTGCATTGGGATGCCAAGAACGCGTCGCAAGAACACTTTGCGGAGGAGAAAAGCGGCGCATGGACCGAGTGTGGAAAAAGGAAGCTGAAGGGACTTCAACAAGTAGTGCAGTGGTGTCATCTTCCAAGGCCATTCTCTGACACCACGTGGTACACTGCTCTCTCCTAAACACGGTGTCGATAGAAAGACCAAAAGGTGCGCACGTCTTCATATAAACCAGTTAGTAAACCATGAGCCGTGCAACTCAAATTGCGGATGTCCCCTTCACATGCGTTTCTGTCGTCGCGATTGTGTAGTCGCAGACGTCTGTCACATTTCTATCAGGGCCCTATGGTGTATAGTGCAGTCTCTAACTACCATTCATTCAATCTCTCCCTCGCTCTCTCGCTGCTGTGAAGGAGGGCTATTGCCCGAAACTCCGTCTCTATCACCGCTGCACGTCATTTCCTTAGTCGGGGCAGCGTTATTGACGAATGCGTTGCCGCGTTGTCATCTCGTTGTGTCTGGCCGCGTGGCGCGATGGTGAAAGTGCTCGACTCACAATTGTAACGTCGGACATCCCTCCCCGGGGGTCACGTTAACGTCCTTCCAGCGTCAAAATAACTGGGAGTGCGCCCCACTTTGTTGGAAGTGCCCGTCCGGTCTCCCTCTGCGTCTGCGTGTAAAATCGACGCCACGCCTGCTGGGTAAAGTGTCACCGTCGTCGCTCGACGCGAGAGAGGCAACTTCGGCGGCGAGAGATCGGCGGGCTTGTGCCAGCGGCGGGCGCTGTTGCCGTCTCTTGGCTCGCGTGGCACGAGGGGGGTTGGATATTGACGAGGACCGCGTTGCCGTGGAAACCCATCGCGGCTACATTTACCCGCTTGTGACGTCACGAGACAGCGGCCGGCACGTGGAGTGACGTCACTCGGCGTCAACATGTGACACACCACGAATAAGATTCTCGCTGGAAAGAGCACAGAACACATCATTCGCGGCGTTCTGGAGGATATAGGTAACAAAGTAATTTCGCAATGTCTCCTTCATTTCACATGAAAACAAAGGCAGTTTGTTGACAAAGCCCACTGACCAAGCGGTCTCTGGGAGTGGGTAATCTCAGCAGCAGGACGTGCGCTCCCAAAAACACCACGGGGCTGATGGGACGTGTAAAACACCCTTGTTTTGTCTCTGCGGAGACATCAGAATATGTATTTATACTGGAGGAACCCGATGAGCTATAATGCTCTTTTTCACAGACAGATGTATGGAGCCGTCCGTCCGTCTGTAGTGTTACTTGGTCTAAAATAGAATCACCTATTGACGACCTTGCACTTGTTTAAACAATTAACAAACATTGTGCGGGGGTTAGAAATCTGGACCAGCTCTCAGTCGCCGTGCACACGAGGCCGTAGAGAGACACAGAGGCTCGGAAAAGACAACAGCCTGATTAAGGGAAGCTGCGGCAGTGGTGGCGATGATGGTGGTGGTGGTGAAAGTGGTGCTGGTAGTGGTTGCTGGTCGTGGTGATGATGATGACAGTGATTATGATGGTGGTGCCGATGGTGATGATGATGGTGGTTGTGGTGAGGATGATCGTGGTGGTAATGACGGTGGTGGTAATGACGGTGAAGGATGTGGTGATGCTGGTGGATGTGGTGATGCTGGTGGATGTGGTAATGACGATGGTAATGATGATGGCGGTAATGACGATGATGGTAATGATGATGGTGGTGGTGGTAATGACGGTGGTGGTAATGACGATGGTGGATGTGGTGGTGATGATGGTGATGATGATGGTGGTGAGGATGATGGTGGTAGTAATGACGATGGTGGATGTGGTGGTGGTGATGGTAATGAC